AATTGTAACCCCTCTGTACAGTATGTTCACAAATAAAATAAAATTAAATTAAAAAAAATGTGGCTCAAGTGGTAGTATCAGCTTTAAGCTAAAAATCTAAGGGACAATTTCCCAGGACCTGAGTTCAAGCCCAGAATATGAACACACACACACAGACACACACACACACACACACATGCACGCGCACGCACGCACACACACAGCCCTTCTTAAAATTCTTATTACAGATGTGGTATAGTATTACTAACTCCACACTAAACAGCAGGCATCTGTGGCTCACACCTGTAACCATATTTACCCAGGAGGCCGAGATTTGAAGGATAGAGTTTCAGATCTAGCCCGGGCAGAAAATCCCTTGATTTTACATCTCCAGTCAGTAAAATACCAGACCAGAGGTTTGGCTCATGTAGATGTCAGCCATGACTGATGCAGCTGAGTAAGAGCACAAGGCCCTGAGTTCAAACAAAGAAAAAAATATTACAAAAAATCACCACATTAACAAACTGAATCCATTTAACTCAGTAATACATTCCCTCATGTAGAATAAAATACAAAACTCCAAAAGTCCCATGAAATCATAATTTCTCCAGTGTAGTTAGGGCCAGGGGACACTAAGGGTATTGCATATACCATCTTGCCTGTATCAATGTACATATTCTCAGAAGAGCTGAAATTCTTACGGTTCTATAAACCTTGCCTAATCTGACTCAATTATTATAACATTTCCTACTATTCTGTGGTTACTCACTCTGACTTCCTTAGTGTTTCTTCACAGTTTGTTTCTGCTTTAGGGCCTTTTACTTATATTTACCTGCTTATAATGCAGAGCTCTACATGTCTTTTCAAATTACATATATTCATACATTCAACTGAGGTTAAGTTTTTAAATTTTTATGTATAGTAGTATCTTTCCCCAGATCGGTATTAAAAAAATGAGCAGTAATTTGTCTGTGAAATACCTATTTGAAGTACACAAATACCTATTTGAAATACACAAAACACACAAATATCTATTTGAAATATACAAATCTAATTATAAATAAATTTACTTTGAGACCATTGAGTATTTTGCAGAGTTTTTATGTAGAATTTTTTAATGAGACAAGCACTCACGGTGGTTCATGCCTGTAATCCTAGCTACTCAAGGGGCTGAGATCTGAGAATCATGGTTCAAAGCCAATCTGGGCAGACAAATCCTTGAGACTCTTATCTTCAACTAACCACAAAAAGCTAGAAATGGAGGTGTGGCTTAAGGGGTAGAGCACCAGCCTTGAGCAAAACAGCTATGTAAGAGTATGAGGCCTTGCATTCAATTCCTAGTACCAATACACACAAAAAAATTTTTAAAATGAGATAGGAATCTATGAAAGCACTTGCTTTGAAATTTTATACATGATCCTGGCTTTGAAAACATTATTGTAGCTTTTTTTCCATTTGTGAGAATGAAGTAAATTTCTAACAGGTCTTCTGATGGAAGAAAAATCAAATACTTGGAATCTAACAGTGGAATAGTGGAGTGGTAATTTCCAGCTTTTTCTAGGAGGAGTTGACATTGGTCATAGTAATATATATTAGCTTGTCGTAATAACAGTTCACTTTGAAAGTTTCTTTGTCCCATCCTCAATATTGTGTTTTATAATTTAGTAGTATTCCATCTTGTCCACTGGAAATACTTCCAAGAACCCCAGAGGATGCCTGAATAACACTAAACCCTATTTATTCTGTTTTTTCCTATACATACTAGTGATAATATTTAATATATAAATTCAGTGTAGTAAGAGGTTAACTATGACTTATTGTAGATTGTAGCAGTTTTTTTCAACATGTAATTCTTTGCCTCTATTAAATCAGCAACTTTCTCTTATTTGGCATACTCAAATTGCCATCATTACGATTCTTGAGCTTGGGGGTCATTAAAGTTTGCTTGAACACAAGTTCTACAGTACCATAATAGGCACAGTCCAATTATTAAGATGGCTACAGAGTGACTAATCAGTGAGTAATAGACCGGTAACATACACAGCATAGATATGCTCAATAAAGGGATGGCTTGCTTTGGGATGGATGGAACTGGTTAATGAAAGATTTCATCATACTACTCAGAATGAAGTACGGTCTACTACTTGTAAATTGTTTATTTTTGGAATTTTCCATTTAGTGTTTTAGACTGCGCTTGTACTTGGGTAACTGAAACTGTAGAAAGTGAACCACTGATATGGGGGGAATATTATACTGATAATAGTTTTCTTACTAGGGAAGATGAGAGGGAAGCATAATGATTTGCTGTAAATGTTTCTGGTTTTCAGATGATACCTCTTTAAGAGAGAAACCTGCTGAAAAAATTAAAGAGAAGAAAGTGGTCAAGCCAGTACGAAAAGTCCAAAAGGTAACACAGTTATCAAGTCCAGAATGCAAAACAGGTTAGTTTTTCAATAGCATGTTCATCCTAAAGTTATATAGTGTTGAAATCAAATTTTTTAAAATTTGTATATCTTTTATTATTTATGCAGGGAATGAGGTGAAACCCAATACATTCATGTGAATCATAGACCTAAATGTAAAAGAATCATAAAGCTAGCTAACTATTCAGGAGGCTGAAATCTGAGGATCATGGTTTCAAGCCAAGCAAGGCATAACTTTTGTCTATTTTCAATTCATAATAGTTTTATTCTTTTACTTTAAAAATTTTTTTTAAATTATCTTTAAGTAGTTGTACAAAGAAGTTCCCATTCTACAAAACAGTATGTGAGTACAAAGTGTCTGACAACATTGGCATCCATCTTTCTTAACCCATCCCTTCTCTCACTTTTTGAAATCGAATTTATAAGGATATAAATATCTGTTATTAAGAATTTTCATTATTTAGCAATATGAAAATCTGATATATATGTCATTATTATGTGTCCTTTAAATTATAATTGACAGGATAATGCATATTTATTTACAGCTGTACAATTTGAAAGGTTTCATATGTGTGTATATCCATAAAATTTTATTCATATGTGTATAATTCTTTTTTTTAATTTAATTTTATTTTATTTGTGAACATACTGTACAGAGGAGTTACAATTACATGGGCAGGATAATGCGTACATTTCTTACCAAGCATTGTAGCCTCCTCCTTTGTTTACCCTTCATATCCCTTCCCAGCCTCCCCCTTCCCCCCCTCATATGTATATAATTCTAAACACTAACTCAAAATCTTTTACTATCATTTTTTGAGGATATAATTTTATTGTTACGATTAAGGTGTTATATACAGAGGTTACTTCATAAGTCAGGTAATGAGTATATTTCTGTTTTGGACAGTGTCATCCCATCCTTCGTTTTCTCCTACTTTCCTCCTCCTCTTCCTGCGTATACACCCTTTAAGCACCCCCCCCCCAAAGAAAGAAAATAAACTCCAAAACAAAAACAAAAAAACCCATGTCTCCATGTCCTGGAATTCTATCATTATTTTTAATAGAAATCAACCAGGTTAAATATCAGTACTTTAAAGTAATGATACGTATGTACATACATACAAACACATCCATACATGGAGAAAAAGCCCTGGCTGTATGTGAGGCACTGTACTATGTACTGTACTAAATTTCAACAATGATCATGAAGATGCACAATTCCTTCTTTTGTAGAGTAGATATAAATTACAATAAAGTGTGATACATGTGGTAAGTGATCACAAGGTCATCAGGGATGTAGAATAAGAATGATGAGCCAGGCCCCAGTGGCTCACGCCTGTAATCCTAGTTCCTCAGAGGCTGAGATATGAGGATCATGGTTCAAGGCCAGCTTGGGCAGGAAAGTTTGTGAGACTCTTATCTGCGATAAACCATCAGAAAACCGGAAGTGGTGCTGTGGCTCAAAGTGGTAGAGTTCTAGCCTTGGGCTGAAGAGCACAGGGACAGTGCCCAAGCCCAGAATTCCAGCCCCATGACTAACCCCCCATCCCCCAAAAAACTTTTTTTTTATAAGAACATGAATAATCTCAGTATTTCAGAATTAACTAGTTCTTTAATCTAAAACTACTATTATTTTCATTTAGTATTTATGTAAAATACTTCTGTCAGGATCATAGTTTCAAGTGAAACCAGAGAACACTGGAACTTGCAAACATTAACTTTAGCTCATGTTTATCCAGTTTTATAGTAGTCTATTTTGTGGATCCAGACAGAAAAATCATTAAATGTGATAAAGCTCTATTAATAGTTTATCTAGTGAAAGTTATCTTCCATTGACTCTATGAGACTTTAGGTAGTCAGAATTTAGAAACAATCACAGAATGTATTGAGAAGCTAACATTTATGAATGGCTACCCAGTGTACTTGTTTGTTTTTGTTTTGCCAGTCCTGGGACTTAAACTCAGGGCCTAGGCACTGTCTCTGAGGTTCTTTTGCTCAAGGCTAGCCACTCTGCCACTTGAGCCACAGAGCTATGTCTGTCTTTTCTGTGGTACCGAGGAATCGAATCCAGGGCTTCATGAATATTAGGCAAGCACTCTACCACTAAGCTACATTCCCAGCCCTTGTTTGTTTTTAACTCAGAAAGTTGAGCTAAAATTGAAAAGACACCTGGCTGGCTTATTCTTCTCTCCCTCCTTCTGTCATTCTCCCTTCTTCTCTCGAACTTCCTTTACTTCTTGTGCAATGACCACTGAACAACACCACTAGCCCCTCCCCCTTTTTTTGCATTGGTTTTTAAAAAAAAAATTTTTTTATTGTTAGTGGGGTGCAGGTGGCTCACACCTGTAATCCTAGTTTCCCAGGAGGCTGAGAACTGAGGATCACAGTTCAAAGCCATCCCGGGTAGGAAAGTCTGTGAAACTCTTATTTCCAATTTATCACCAGAAAATTGGAAGTGGCACTGTGGCCCATAGTGGTAAGAGTGCTAGACTTGAGTGGAAAAACTCAGAGACAGCATCCAGGCTCTTAAGTTCAAGCCTCACAAGCAACAAATATTAAGATGTTGTACAGAGGGGTTACCATTTCATAAGTCAGGTAATTAATACAGTTCTTTTTTTATTCTGTACTAAATACCATGGTTGAATTCAGGGCCCTACTCCTTGAAGTTTTAGAAATAATTATGATTTGGTACTTAATTTTCAAAGTATTTGACATTGAAATGTAGCAAAGCAAGATATAAACAATCTGTTAGGGGCTGGGAAGGTGGCTCAGTGGTAGAGTGCTTGCCTTGCATGCATGAGGCCCTGGGTTCGATTCCTCAGCACCACATAAGCAAAAAAGAAAAAAGCCGGAAGTGGTGCTGTGGCTCAAGTGGTAGAGCGCTAGCCTTGAGCTGAAGAGCTGAGGGACAGCGCCCAGGCCCAGAGTTCAAGCCCCACGACCGGACCCAAATAAACCAAGAAAACCCCCCAACAATCTGTTATCCAATTGTAATGTCTTAGAGTTAAAATATACTTATGTTGTGAACCTTTTGATTTTGATGAGAGGTAAATGTAAATTATTACATCTATATAGCTAAGTCAGTGTACTTCTTAAAGCTAAAATATAAGTTTCAGATTTCAATGCATTATATATATTTTAGGGAATAGTCATCTGATAAGCACCTCTTCTTGGCGAGATGGACAAAAACTAGTAAAGAAGATTCTGGGACCTGCACCGAGAATGGAGCAAAAAGAACGAAGAACAGCATCAAGTGACAGAAGTGGAAGAGAAAAAACGAATAAATCTGGTGGGTGGCTTTAACTAACATTGTTGCAAAAAATATTCAATGACTTCCACATGTAATCCTAGCTACTCAGGAGGCTGATGCGTGCAGGATTGTGGTTTGATGGCAGCCTAGGCCTAAATACCTAGGAGACTCTCTCTCCAAAATAACTGGTAAAGAGTCAGCTAGAGGTGTGGCTAAAATACCAGTCAAGCATGTGGAGTAAGCACAAGACCCTGATTTCACCACACACATGCACATACAACCTTTCTTTCTTTCTTTTTTCCCCCACTCCCATGCCATGTAAGACCTTAGGAAAGTACTAATAAGAATGCTAATAAGACTTTAAGACTTCTCATTCTTTTTTTTCTTTTCTTTTTTGTGGGTCATGGGGCCTAAACTCTGGGCTTGGGTACTGTCCCTCAGCTCTTCAGTTCAAGGCTAGCACTGTACCACTTGAACTGTAGCGCCACTTGTGGCTTTTTCTGCTTATGTGGTGCTGAGGAATGGAACCCAGGGCCTCATGAATACAAGGCAAGCATTCTACCACTGAGCCAGTCCTTTTTTTCCTTTTTTATAATTATAGCTCAAAAAGGAGAAAATTTGCTGTTAAACTTGCCTGGATAATCTCTACATATGGTAATGTTCATCTTTACTAAGAATTCAGTTTTAAATTACATTAATTACTTTAGCTGTCATTGTGACTATCAGTGTATTATTTCAGTCAAATCTGTTTTGGGCTTTAGAATCAAGCCACTTGGTCTCATATACAGGCAAGCATTCAAAAGATTACATATTATTACTGTTACTCATCTTGTTTTTGTTATTCTGTTATAATTTGGACAGTTTAAAAAACAAGCCCTGAAAACAGGTGATTTTTTTTTTCTGGGATATATAATCAAGGATGGCAAAATTTGATGTAAGATCTAGAACTCAAAAAATTTGACCCTGAAATCCATTGCTTTATTCTTTTTTTTTTTCAAGTGTGCTTATGTGTATTTTAACATATATTTTTAAAAGAAGACAAAGGCTTTACACACCCATATGCTTCAAGACGCTAATTTTACAGTTGTCTCTGAGACCCCAAACTACACACTCAGTAGGGGGTAGGGACATCAGAAAAGAAGGACTTTGATTGCACAGTAAGACTCCTGTCCACACTGTCTTATACTTGGAAGACCATCCCTTGACAAAAACTGTTGCAAAGCAGGGGGAGCTAGGCCAAGAGAAAAGATTCCAGGACTGCTGCAGTATTGCTGAGTTTGTGGAACTTTCCTGTACTTGTTACTTTACTCAGAAAGAAATTCCAGACTTAACGAGTTCTGTATGTAGGCCAAAGAGCAGGGAAGAAAAGCTGGGTACACACCTTGTAAGGCTCTTTCCTTAATCTCCTCTACTCCATTCACTCTCAACCAACCTCAACTCAAAGGCTGCACCATCTTTAAGTTATATCTCATTTGCATATGAGCCTTTCCTTTGGTCTCTAGAGGCTCTTACAGTGACCTTTGCCAAGTTCAACCAAGAGTAACCATACCCTTCACTTGCAAGTCACCCTCTGGTGACCACTACAGTTCATGGCACAGCATGAACTGTCGTATTGGTAGCTTTTGTGCTCATAAAGAGCTGGTGAGGTGCTTTGTGTTCCCCACCTTGTGTCCCATCTTGGTCATTGCTTTATTCTTTTTGTAGTACCTTGAGTGCTGCTATTTGACTAACTTATTTTTTTTTCATTAATACTGTGAACTGTGATCTTTTTCAGCTTATTTGCTCATGGCTGGCACACTAGCATTTGGTCCACACCTCCAACCTGTTTTTTTTGCTGGTTAATTCAAGATGGATTCTCACTGACTTTTCTGCTCCAGTTGGCTTCAAACTTAGATCTTTCAGATCTAAGATTACAATCCATGAATGACCCATGGATAAGCCATCCATTTCTAGCACATTAATGCTAGTTTGAGAAATAAACTATAAATACCTATAGGCCAGTTTTTCTTTCTGGGGAAAGGGTTGATCCTTGGGTGTGAACTCAGGGCCTTCATTTGATCAGTTTACTTGCTCTGGTGGCACTCTGCCACTTAAGCCATGCCTCCCTGTTTTTTATTGGTTATTTTGGACATAGGAGAATTGTCTTCTTTTCTGCCTAAACTAGCTTTGAACTGTGAGCTTTCTGGCTTCAGTAGGCATGGGCCACCAAACACTTGTCCAGCTTTTCTTTTGAGAAGCAAAATTTACATTAGCTAATTGTGTTTCTGGAATGGATTCAGTAAGTAATGCAGTCATAATTGCAATAATATACTTTATATTTCTTCTTCTTCATGTTTTTCCATCTTTTTTCAAATAAGCTAACTCATATGCATTATAAATTAAGCCATGTCAACAAATATTGAGATCTTAAAGTGATTGCTTTTATATATGCTGTTTATTATTTATTTATGTATTTAGTGATACTGGGATTTGAACTCAGAGCCTTGTGCTTGCTAACTAAGCAGGTCCTATACTGATTAGTTATAGCTCTAGCCCTTTTTTGGACTGTCTTAATTTTGAGATTGCAAAAAAGATCTCACTTCATACCTGGGTAATGCTTGGACTGTGTTTTACAGATATTATTAAAATATAAATGTGGGCTGGGCACTGGTGGCTCACACCTGTAATCTTAGCATCAGGAGACTGAGATCTAAGGATTTTGGGTTCAAGCCAGCCCAGGCAGCAAAAAGCTGAAAGTGGAGCTGTGGTTCAAGTGATAGAGAGCCAGCTTCAGAAAAGCTAAGGGACAACATCCATGCCCTGAGTTCATGGCCCAGTAACAGCAACACAAAAAACTAACAACTTTTTTTCAATATGTTTTGGTTCTAACTAATATGCCTTTGCTTAAAAATTACTGATTTCTAAGCAACATTTTTTTATTTTTATTTATTTATTTATTATTATTATTTTTTGTCTGTCGTGGGGCTTGAACTCTGGGCCTGGGCGCTGTCCCTCAGCTCTTCAGCTCAAGGCGAGCGCTCTACCACTTGAGCTACAGCGCCACTTCCGGTTTTCTGGTGATTTATTGGAGATAGGAGTCTCACAGTCTCTCCTGCCCGGGCTGGCTTTGAACCACGATCCTCAGATCTCAGCCTCCTGAGTAGCTAGGATTACAGGCGTGAGCCACCAGCGCCCGGTGCAACATTTTTTTAAAAAGGGAAATATGCATGTGAGATAGAAATAATAATGTTAAATATTCATATCAATCATAAAATCTCTTTTTTACAGAAATATTAAAAGGAACATTAAAAGAAATCCAAGGAAATAAGGCTTTTTCAAAGTACTGAAATTCTTTTACTGCTAAAAAAGGGAATTTTCCTTCCTTTTATAGCATTCTTTAGACTAGGATATGTGAATTTGGGTTTAAGATCAATTTAATTTTCTTTCTTTTACATATTACATGCTTTTATTACAATTTAATTTTCTTTCTTAATTTTCCCTTACTTCATTTTTATACTTTATATGCTTTTATTATAAAACATCTGAACAAAAGAAAGAAATTCTTCCTTTGGTATTTGCTAAGTTTTTTATTATTAAAATAAATCTTAAGAGTGAATGTAGAATTTTCATGTGTCACCAACAATTCATGCATTCCAGGGGCTCATATTGGAAGAGCAGAATCCGATCCTAGGTTGGATGTTTCACAGAGACATCTTCCTCGCAGTTCAGAACGTTCAAGAAGTAGAACTAGGTCTGAAAATAATATAAAGAAATCTGCACCGTCTCTTCTAGACAATAAGCAAGAGGATAATGTTGCCTTAAACAAGGACTTTTTACCTGTTGAAATTCGTGGAATTCTTGATGACCTGCAGCTGGATTCCACAGCTCAGGCTGTGAGGCAAGAGACTGGAGAGATACAGAATCCGAAGTCATCCACATCTGTACCAGCTTCTCGGAGTCATAGCCTAGTGAAAAGAAAACCTGACAGAATAACAGCTAATGAAGATCCCCCTGTCATTTCCAAAAAGCGCCACTATGACACAGATGAAGTACGACAATACATTGTTAGACAACAGGAGGAAAGGAAAAGGAAACAAAATGAAGAGAAGAAGGCTCAAAAGGAGGCTACTGAACAGAAAAACAAACGTTTACAAGAGCTCTACCGGAAACAGAAAGAAGCCTTTACTAAAGCAAAAAATGTGCCTCCATCTGATCCATCAACAGCTAGGCGACTTCAGGAAACGTACTCCAAATTGCTAATAGAAAAGACTTTGCTGGAAGAGCCAGCCCATCAACATGTTACACAGGAAGCACAGGTAATAGTAGCAGAAACACAAAGGTCAGAAAAAAGTTATTTCCTATACAATGTTATTTAAAAATTACCCACCATCCTATTATTCAGGTAAATGCTCACATAATATTTTTAACAGTCATGGTCTTTTATGAAATGTATTACATATGAAGAAAAATTTGGACAATATGATGGGAAAAAAAGAGATCAGGAATAGCATTGATTGCTACTGATGTTCTTTGTCATTGCTATTATATTCCTGCTTAGTTGTCATTATAGTACTGAGTAAATACTTAGCCTATAATACATAAGCTAGATTACGTTAATGAAATATTTAGTTTGGTATATTTTTCAAAATTAGAAAACATTTTAATTTGATGTGCTAATGTTTTTAGGAGAATAACTGAATATGCATTGAGGTATTGCACACTGTTTTAAAGGCTTTGTTTAATATGATTAAGCTTTAGTAAATCATAACCCTGCAAAGGTTAGGTAAACTACATTTTTTACTTATTTTGAAAAAACAGGGTAAAAAGGATATTACTTCATCCTAATTATGCAGTTAGGATTAAATGTCCTATTTGGATTTTAGATGATGTTTGCTGTTAATTATAATAGTTGTTTTTAAGACAAACTGAATTTGATTGTTTTATTATGTGGAAAAATCCTCTGGTTTATCGATTCATTAAAGTTAAGATCATTCTGAAAACTGAAATGACTTATGAGTTCCTTATGTGCTACTTGAAGAGATCTTCGTGATGAGATGGCTTTTTCTTCTAGGCAAGACCAGGATATCAGCCATCTGGGGAATCTGATAAAGAAAACAAAGTACAGGAACGTCCCCCAAGTGCATCTTCCAGTAGTGACATGTCTCTGTCAGAACCACCACAGCCTCTTGCAAGGTAAAAAAGAGAATGAAAGATAATTAAGATTCTATCATTTAATTAAATTTATTGTAGTCTTATGTTAATTTACCCTATGCCTTACTTAAGTTTTCTTTTCTTTTTTTTTTTTTTTTTGTCGGTCGTGGGGCTTGAACTCTGGGCCTGGGCACTGTCCCTCAGCTCTTCAGCTCAAAGGCGAGTGCTCTACCACTTGAGCTACAGCGCCACTTCCGGTTTTCTGGTGGTTTATTGGAGATAGGAGTCTCACGGTCTCTCCTGCCCGGGCTGGCTTTGAACCCTGATCCTCAGATCTCAGCCTCCTGAGTAGCTAGGATTACAGGTGTGAGCCACCAGTGCCCGGCCTTACTTAGGTTTTCAAATGTTAGCTGTGATTGATTGACTGATTGATTGTGTTGGTGATTGAATTTAGGACCTTGCATATGCTAAACAAATGCTTTTCCAAACTGTATCCTCAGCCCTTTAAGTTATGTTCCTCTTATAATTAAGTTTCCTTTACTATTATATTTCTCACTAGCTGTCATGTAATATAAACTAGAATACATTAATGAAAAACTTAATTTTATGTATTTATCAGAACTAGAAAATATTCTATTTTGGTGTGTTTTAGGAATAAGAACTGAATGTATACCAGGTATTACACACAATTTTAAAAGCTTCAGTGCAGGGTATAATCCATTGTCAGTGTCAGTTCCTTCTTTAGTTGGAAACACTATTGTCTTCTCTGAACCAAACACATCATGAAATTTTGTTAGGTGGATATATCACACAGCATAAAGTTGCATGGTTACACATTATACTTTGAAGAGAAAGATTTTGAAACTCTTAAGAATGCACAAATAGAAATCAAATCATTTTACAGTTTGTGGTTAATGCACACCATCCTCTTTTCTCTCACCCAGAAAATAAGATTGATAATATAGCTAATATTTATTGAACATTTCTTAGGTTTCAAGTATTTTGGGCTAGGGCTCAAACTCAGAGCCTCATGGATGGTAGCCATTTAAGAGATCTACCGAGTCAGATATTTAGTACAGACATAATTGTCTTTTCTGTTTCATAGAAGAGATGACTGAGACTTAGAATTGAATGTGTCTTCTCAAAGTCAAAACATTAGTGGTGGAGATAGTTTTGAACTTGGGCAATGTGACTCCAGAAGCTAATGCTTTTAACCATTCTATGCATTTCATTCTAATAAGTTAAATGTTTCAAATGATTTGTTTACTGTTACAAATAAATTTGTAAATTTCAATCAAACACAAACTTTTTAAAAGTTGTAAATACTTTCTGGGTAGGGAATTCTCTTCATTTTATTATTGCTGTCAACCTACCTTATTGGATTCATGTCTCTAATTTTTACCTTTCTCTGAGATGTTTTATAATTCTAAACAAGTTACCCAGTATTAGAAGCACTCCAAACAGAAATCTTTTGTCAGATTCTAGTACTTGTTTCTCCCAACTTTCCCTCCTTCCTTTTAAATTTGTTGGTGTGTGTGTGTGTGTGTGTGTGTGTGTGTGTGTGTGTGTGTGTGTGTGTGTGTGTGTGTGTGTGTGTGTGTGTGTGTGTGTGTGT